TCACGAGATTTAGTTTGTTAACCTAATAATTTTCTTTGTTCTTCTTAATCTTTTTGTTACATTTCATTCAGTACTGTTATTTCGTTCTTACGATGTCGTCGCGAAAAAAGATTTGTGTTTTTGGATGCGACGAATTAGGTAAGAAATATTTGAATACCTATCATTTATATATATTGATAATTCAACGGATGCAGTCAACCTGTTTCAAATAATAAAATTTTTTTTTTTTTATTATTTGAAACAGGTTGTGAAAATTGTGGAAATATTATAAATATATATATTGGGTATATTCTTGAAGTAGACTTGCACTATCCAATTGAAATACATGATGATCATTCAGATTTACCATTTGCAGCAAAAAAGTTTGCTCCACCAGGAAGCAAACATAAAAAATTAAAGGCTAGTTTGTACGATAAATGTAAATATGTTATTTATTATGAGCATTTAAAAGAATGTTTTAGTTTTTTTAGTTTATAGGATATTGTTATTTAGTCAAAATGCATTTTTAACACCATATATTTTATTAAATACAACACTTAGATAAAACGCTGCTTCAGACTTTGAAAGAGATTTTTTTTTAAAAACAAAACAATTCCATTTTTGGAAAAACAGCAGAGGATAAACGAAAACAAGTCGATGTAAAATTGGTTAATGTATAGAAAGATACATCTAATAAGACTAATAAACTATGTGGAGCTGAAAAACATGTAAGTGCTCCTAATTTTAAAAATTTGTCAATAATTTCAGTTTCGTTAGTAGCAATCCAGTTAGAACTAATAAAAGTTATCCTTGATCGCCCAATTTACATTGGATTTTCAATTCTGGATTTAGCTTAGAGTCATTTATATCATTTTCATTACTCTATAATGAAACGCATGGATAAAAATTCACTGCAACTCTGTTATACTGATACTGATAGTCTGCTGTATCTAATAAATACAAATGATTTTTATAAAGACATGAAAAAAAAATATAAAATATTTTGATACAAGTAATTTTAAAAACAATCAGTATGATATGCCCAAAGTAAATTGTAAAATTCCAGGGTTTTTCAAAGACGAAATGGATGGTGATATAATAACTGAATTTGTTGGATTAAGAGCGAAATTATATTGTATTGATTCTAAAACAACCTCAATAAGAAAAGCTAAGGGTATTAAAAAATCTGTTACTAAAAATCTTAATATTGAAAAATATAAACGAGCGTTATGGTCTAATGAAAACTTTAGAAAGAGTATGTGTATAATTAGATCAAAGAATCATCAAATATTTACTCAAAAAGTTGATAAACATGTACTTAATAGAGATGATGATAAAAGACAAATTATGGCAGATGACTACAATACGTTACCGTGGGGATATTATAAAACTATATTTTAATAAATTTGAATGTAAAACTATGTAATGCTACCACTATGTACTGTAAAAGTAAGTAAGAGATAAATGTATAGCTTAAGTTACATGTATTATCATGTTTATAACTTTATATTAATTTAAAATAAATAAATATTTAGTTTTAATAAATACATTCGTTGTAACAGTAAATGTCTTTTCTTTTTTCCTCTACACAATTGAATAATAATGATACATAATAAAACAACAATAAAATTCAATGTATAACTTTTATTATATTTTATAAGCTACATTAATTAAATTACTAGTTCTCACATAATTTTTCACCTATTTTTTATATAAGACAATTTGTAGCATCTAACACTTCATCATACATTGAATCCACACCATATTGAACACTTATATTAATACTAAGATCGTGGATGACATTTTCTTCTTGCTCGTTAAGTTCGTAAATGCTGATTTTAGTAACAAACCTTTAGTCACAGATACAAGGTTTGGTTGGATATTATCTGGCCCAATTTCTTCAAAGTCTGTTAGCATGGCGTTTGATATACTCACTTGTCCCTTGAAGAGCAAATTACTAAATTTTGGCAGGTTGAGGATACCCTGAATCTAATAAGATATTGTCCAATTTTGATATGGAATGTGAGAAGCACTTTTTAGAAAATACTCGTCGCATGGACGACGGTAGGTTTTGTGTTCGATTAACACTTATTTCTGAACCTGATTGTTTAGGTAATTTTTATCAGTTAACTAAAAGGCGCTTCCTATGGGTAGAAAGACGTTTTAGAAAAAATCCAGATTTAAAATTAATGTATTCTGATTTTATACGTTAATATTCAGATCTTGGACATCTATCAGAAGCTACTGAGGTTATTTCATCTCCGGCTTACTTCATCCCGCACCATGCGATGATCAAACCAGACAGTGAGTCGACAAAATTTCGCGTTGTCTTCGACGGCAGCGCCCCCTCTACCTCAGGCTTCTCTATAATGACCTCCAAATGGTGAAGCCTGCTATTCAGGATTCCTTATTTAATATTATACTCAGATTTCGTCTTTATAAATATGTACTCTCCGGAGGCATAGAAAAAATGTACCGACAAGTTTTACTTGACCCCAGAGATCGTAATTTACAGTTAATTTTATGGCGCGAAAATGACAGAGAGCCCATAAGAATATTACGTCTTAATACAGTGACCTACGGTTTCGCGAGCGCAAGCTTTCTAAGTACCCGCTGTCTGTGGCAGCTAGGAGAGGAATGTCAGGATCATAAAATTAAAACTATAATTCAAAACGACTTCTTAGTCGATGATTTACTTAGCGGTTCTGATTCCCCTCAAGAATTAAGTTATATTAAGGAAACCGTAGAGTCCGTTTTATCTAGTGGTGGGTTTAACTTGCGAAAGTACCGATGTAACTCTCCATCTGTATATAGACTTTGCGGGACCATTTTCTATGGTTAATCGTAAAGGTAGAGGCTGTAAAATCGTAACTAAATGCTACTTATGTTTATTTATTTGTATGAAATATAAATGCCTTCACTTAGAAGCGGTGAGTGATCTCAGCAAAGATGCGTTTGTACTAGCTTTACGTGGGTTTATATCTCGCAGAGGAAAGCCGTCTAACCGAAAGGATATCTATTGTGACAACGGCACGAATTTTGTGGCAGCCTCGAAAGAACTAGGCAATTTTTTAAACACGCATTCGCGTTCCATTTCCGATTTTGCTTCGAACGAAGGCATAAAATTTCATTTCTCCCCGGTTTATTGGCGGTCTATGGGAGGCGGGCGTAAAATCCGCTGAATTTCATATTAAACGAACCCTTGGTTCTACACATTTAACTTTTGAAGAGAGGCAACTTTATTTAGTCAAGTTGAATACATCCTGAACAGTCGCCCTCTATATCCTAAGTCGTCCTCTCCTAATGATTTCCATCCACACACTCCCGGTCATTTCCTCATCGGACGTGCTCTAGATACGATACCATCACCTGATCATACTTCAACGAGTTTCAACCGGCTTAACAGATTTAAACAAATAGAAAAATACCGTCAGCATTTTTGGAATAAATGGAAGCTGGATTATATATCTGAATTGCAACAGCGACATAAATGGCGAGTATCAGCTCGAGAATTACGGATTGGAGAATTGGTTTTACTCAAGGATGACAACGCTCCTCCACTACAGTGGAAACTCGGACGTATCATACAGTTTTACCCCGGACCAGATGGAATAAACCGTGTGGCAGACGTTCTGACGTCCACCGGAGTTCTCAAACGTGGTATTAAATACCTGTGTCTTCTACTGGATCCCCAATACGAAAACTGAAAGCTGAACCTTCCAGGGGGGCGGAGTATGTTCGTGGAGTTTTTATATGTATTGTTTTTATTTTAATTTTTTAAATAATTGTAAAGAATAAAAAAGACAGATGTCACGAATATTGGAGGAACAAGAGAATGTTTTCTGTAAAATGTATATATAGCTTTTTTCTCTTTACCCTAGAACCGTACCCTGGGGTACAATTGAAAAAATATTTTTAAAATTGGCTATAACTTTTTTGTTTTATAAGGGATCTTTTCGCACCGGCGCGTATTTATGGTGGACGGGGGGTTGTGTCGAAGCATCAGTCGGGCGCGAGTTCTGTTAGCGTGCGATCGTGGCAACGCGTGTGTGGGGTACTCCAGCACCCCTGGGAACAGTTAAGGTAATTATATTAGTTACTAATTGCTGGATGTTTTTTATGAAATAAGCTATGCTATTTTTTTGTTTGATTCATGATTTTAATTTTAACATTGCAATATTACCTTAGAAGTAACTTTGTCTGCATACGATGTGTTTGTACTTAATATTTATTTGCAATATTTATACAATTTTATTTACGTTATTTTGTTTAGTAACGAATTTTTTGTAATTCTTCTTTTTAGATGGCGTCAAGAAAAAACCTTTCAGAAAATGAAATTCAAAACCTCCTTCTGGACGTTCGTGATGAAGATGAAGTGTTTCTTGGGGATGAATTAGAAGATGAACTGGATGAAATTATTCCCGATTTTCGCGATGAACAGGTTCCTGTCGTAGAGGATGGCTCTAACCATGAAACAGATCTTGAAAGTTCGGAAGAAGAAATTGAAGAGGATATTGTCCAGGTTAGAATCACAAATTCTCCAGTAACAGTTCTTACAGTACCCAAAGTTTTGCGAGGTAAAGGAACAAAAAAGCAAAGAACTAGCGAAAAATTTCTATGGTATGGGACTCATCGCCGTTCCTCGCGTACTCCACAAAGAAATATAATATTTCATGCACCAGGAAATAAAGCTCTTGCTAAATTTACTACCAGTGCCTTAGATAGTTGGAAATTATTTTTTACGGATGAGATTTTGCATATGATAGTAACTAATACTAATCTTGAGATATCTGAACAGCGCAAGAAGTATGTCAGACAGGCCAATAGCATCTCAAAATGATGATGATGATGATAATTCTGTTCCTACGAGTATTCGACCTTCTTTTGTCCGAGATGTAACCGTAACCGAATTAAAAGCTCTCTTTGGCTTATACTATTTAGCTGGAGTTTTAAAAATTAATCACTTGTCTGTCAAAGAAATATTTGATAAAAATACGGGCATCAACTATTTTCGGTCTACTATGAGTGAGAAAAGATTCGAATTTTTGACAAATTGTCTTCGATTTGATGATCGTTCGACCAGAGCTGAAAGAAGACAACATAGTAAATTGGCACCAATAAAAGAACTGTTCGATCACATTGTTGAAACTTCAAAAAGTCTTTATTCACCTTCAGATTGCACAACGATTGACGAGCAATTACTTGGGTTTCGCGGTAGATGCCCATTCCGTATTTATATTCCATCAAAACCCGATAAATATGGAATAAAACTGTTAATGTTTTGTGATGCAAAATCGTATTATATGATAAATAGTATAATATACACTGGAAAAGATTCTACACCACGTGAATTACCAGTGACTGAGTATTACGCATTGGAGCTTTCAACTTCTATTCATGGGTCTAATAGAAATATCACGTACGATAACTGGTTTACTTCAATCCCTGCTGCCGAAAAACTCTTAACCAAAAATGTTACAACAGTTGGAACAATGAAAAAAAACAAAACAGAAATCCCTACTCATTTTTTGGAAACCAAAAACCGCCTCAAGAACACATCAATGTTTGCTTTTCATGACGAACTTACTTTGTTATCATATATGCCTCCAAAGCTAAGTAAAGGAAAAAAGAAAAACGTGATTATGCTTTCTACTATGCACTATCAACCAGACGAAGACAAATCTGTTGATTTACCAGAAATAATAAGTTTTTATCGGGTGTCTCAGTAAGAGTGCACTTTTTAAAATTGAAATTTTTTTTTTCATGCAAGTGGCAACTCTGAAATTTGACAGCTGTCATCTCTGTTTATTCCCATTATTAAAAATGGAGAGGTTTTCGAAAGACCAATGCGTTATAATTGTGAAAACTCATTACAAAAATGGGGAAAGTTACGCTGAAACCGCTCGCAAACTTCGCCAAATTTTCAGCCGAGAAAGTGCACCCAATGTGTCAACCATTCAAAGAGTGGTTAAAAAATTTGAAGAAACTGGTTCTATTATGGGTAATAAGAATCCTTTGCGTCAACGTACCGGTCGGTCTCTTGAAAACATTGCTGCTGTAAACGAGAGTGTTGCCGAAAACCCGAAAACATCAATTCGACATCGTTCTCAACAACTTCAAATTTCACGAAGCACTACGCAGCGAATTTTGACTAAAGACCTCCACCTTCATGCGTAAAAGATTCAGTTAACTCAGGAGCTCAAACCAGCAGACCACGGAAAGCGCTGGCAATTCGTTCAATGGGTAATGGAGCAAAGTGAAGTCGATACCAATTTTTCAGAAAAAGTTATTTTCTCCGATGAAGCGCATTTTCATTTGGATGGCTTCGTGAATACACAAAATTGTCGAATTTGGGACTCAGAAAATCCTCATGCAATCCATGAGAAACAAATGCACCCACAACGAGTAACTGTCTGGTGCGGATTTTGGTCAGGCGGCGTGATTGGACCTTACTTTTTTGAAAATGAGGCCGAAATTGCAGTGACTGTGAACGGCATTCGTTACAGGAATATGATAACGGACTTCTTGTGGCCTCAACTAGACGGCATGGATCTGGACAACATGTGGTTTCAGCAGGACGGCGCAACCTGCCACACCGCGCATGAAACAATCGACTTATTACAGCAACGATTTCCAGAACACATTATCTCACGAAACTTTGATGTCAACTGGCCACCAAGATCGTGTGATTTAACGCCGTGCGATTTTTTTCTTTGGGGTTTTGTGAAATCTCGGGTTTATGCGAATAAACCCGAAACAATTCCTGAGCTCAAATCGGAAATCCAACGCGTCATCGGTGAGATACAGCCACATCTCTGTGCAAAAGTCATGGAAAATTTCATGAAAAGAGTAATGGCCTGTCATCGGAGCCGTGGGGGTCATTTGCCGGATATTTTATTCCATACTTAATCGGAACATGTCTTCTTTACAATACAATAAAAATATCACAACTCTGTCATAAAATACTTGTTTTTATTTTAAAATGAAAAAGTGCACTCTTACTGAGACACCCGGTATAATCAAACGAAAGGAGGAGTGGACACTTTTGATCAGCTTTGTCATGCATACAGTGTTTCTCGCAAAACTCGTCGCTGGAGCCTTTGTGTATTCTACGGAATTTTGAACATTGTGGGAATTAACTCCATGATATTACTGCATTCATCAAAAGCCAATGGTAAACAAATTTTCAAGAACAGACGGAGTTTTCTGAAGACCTTAGCTTTTGACCTTATAAAACCTTATTTGGAGGACCGATTTTTATATAAAACTTTGCCTATGCATCTACAAATAAGTATTGGCGGTATTTTAGAAAAAACACGACCTTCTAGTGCTCCATTATCTTCAGATTCAAAATCTGGTAGATGTTCATTTTGTCCCAGGTCAAAAGACCGTAAATCACGCACTCGATGTGAAAAATGTAAAAGTTTTATATGTTTAATAAGTTTTATATTTTAATTATAAATTAACTAATAGAAATAGAGGTATATCAATTTCGGATTCAGCTGGAGCATTTAAAGAGCAAATAATTGACATACAGTTTAATTTTAAAAACTATATATTTTCTGTTTTATTGCAAAATTAAATTTATGACACTTAAATTTTTTTTAAATAATTTATAATTAACTAATTACAATAGAGGTGGAGTAATTTCAGATTCTGCTGGAGCATTTAAGGAACAATTAATTGGCATACAGTTTAGTTAAAAAAAAGAATGTTCTACGCTAACTTCCATCTGGTTGTTTAGAGCACCAAAAAAAGATTTGCCAAAATTGTTAATTTAAGTTTGTTAATTTTTTGTTTAATTATGTAACGTGAGACTGAAATAAGTGCCATAAAAGACTATGTGTTGATTATTAATAAATGTCTATTCTTATGTAAAAAAATGTTTTATTTAACGGGGTACACTAGAACCCCTGGGTACTGTTATTTAAAGTCTATTATGGGTACGGTTCTAGGGTTAAACTGTATTACTTCATTTAATTTTGTTATCCAAGTACGATATTATAATTTATATATTATGAAGACGAAGATTTTTATTTAAAAACTGCATCCTAATTACCACGCGTTCTGCGCGTGAACAATGACTGAGATGGAAGAAAATGAAGCCAGGCTAGTTCACAAAGTATTACTGCTCTTGGAAACATGAAAGGAAGAGGTTGAGGAAAATACAGAGGAATTATGGGAGAAAGAAGACCATATTATATTTTCCGATCCCAAGGAGATTGCAATCATAAAGATCCGAATCTTCAAGTTTTTTCTAAACTGTAATGACGTGTTTTCGTCTTTAAATTCTCATTCCCTAGAGCAGTGATGGGCAAAGTACGGCCAGCGGGCCACCTCCAACCCGCGAAAGCTTTTAATCCGGCCCGCCGACGGTACTTCGACATGAATAGTATATGTCCCGCGATAATTATATTTTGACAGTTCAGAAGTATAAAGTAGATTCTAATTTCTACTTAGTAGAATAATAGACACATAATAAAATATTAACTTTCGATTTTTGACATTGAATACTAAGAGTTGTATTGTAGTGTTATGCTACTTACTTATCATTTTACATTATTTTAAATTCATTTTTCCATTCTGTTTCGATTTTCTGCATTCACCTCAAAACTGGGTATTTTACATCACCTTTATTTCCATAGGATCCTGTAACGATTTTAAACCATAAGAACACAATAACAAATCATTTCTACTTCGTATTTTCACATTATCAGCACTTTTAAATTGGTGTCAATGGAGTCTACCTTTTTTCGATCTTTTATTTAGTTTTCCGTAACTCTGCAATTTCGGGCTTTGTGCATGCAGTTGCGCTACCTTTTTTCCTATATCAATAATATCTCATTTTTCACTTAAATCTTGCCGTTTTTTTATTACAAGCCTAAAACCAAAATTTGACATGTTTTGACATTGTTGTTTATTTGGTCTCTATGGCAATTATATTCAAATTTGCTACCGGTATGTTGTTTCTATTTCGATAATTCCACATAAATACTCTTTTCTCTTGACCATTTACAAAAAATTTGCGTTTAATTTAAATAATTTTTCCGTTCTCTCTAGAAAAGTATAAAAGCCGAACAATCGGTGAAGAAATTCAGTCTCGCTTCAGTTCTCGAATTGGAAGCATCTCCTAAAGGCTTTATCCCGGGGCCGCACTGCCCCGGGATCCTGCAAGCCTCTGTCCTGCCTGAAGCCACTGGACTCTACGAACCTCTGCTCTACCTGAAGTCGCCGGATCCTACAAACCGTTGCTCTGCCTGAAGTCGCCGGGATCCTACAAGTCTCTGCTCTACCTGGAGTCGCCGGAACCTGCAAACCTCTGTTCCGCCTGAAGTCACCGGAACCTGCAAACCTCTGTTCCGCCTGCAGTCACCGGATCCTGCAGGCCTCTGTGCTGTCTGAAGTCGCTGAGGATCCTGCAAGCCCCTGTCTGGCCTGAAATCGCCGGATCCTGCAATCACCGCATTCACCTGAGGTCGTCGCCTAGAGACGCCCACGCCTTCTCACCTACGCCGTGCGTGCTCGTTCCAGGCGCTGAGAGCACACTTTGGATCTTCAGACTCAGTCTCGACACTAATCTCCTTTTTTTTATTACCTTTTTTTTAAATAATTTGTAAATCACATTATCCATCCTCATTTTCATACTCCATTTTGTTATTTAAAATTGTAAATATCTTAAATTTTAAATATATTATTTGTTTTTATTCTATTTTTGTTGTTTTGTTGCTGTTAGGTTAGACTATTTTATATTTAATTGTCGCTTCACGACATTTTCAATGTCAAAAATCGAAAGCCCATAAATTAATATATTTATTCATCTCTGGCCAAAAGAATTTTGACTCTGGTGGCTCAAATTGTGTATCGCGTCAAATGCTATTTTTCTAAAATTCTATTGTAAAAAGGGTCTGGCATATTTCGTCAAAGTTTCGCAATATATCGAATTATGAATGATAGGCAAAATACACTTTTGATACTGTGTCAGAACGTGTTGATTGTGTAATGAAGTCGTCGTGTTTCTGTGCCTCAGCAATTTCGTGTTAATATGTAAATACTGTGGGACAGGAAATTGTCTCGACTCCCGATAGCGAGTCAGCTACGATGTAATTCTTAACCTCTCTCAAATCTTAATTCTAAGTGAAGAAATCATTACGAACATCTAAAACAACAGTGACAGGAGTTGATATTGTTCGAAAAGTTATGCAGAAACTTGTATGCAGCTTCGCATTATATATAAAGCACAAAGAGAGGAAAGAAGGACAGGAGAGCCATAGCATCAGCAACAATGCTATTGCGCCCATTCCTCCATTCAATCGAAGCATTTCACTTAGAGCTTTCAAAAGACCTACAAGGATCAACCATTCCATAGGCGGGGAAGAGAAAAAGGCGAAGATCACATCTAATATGGAAATAACTTCATTAGACACAGACCTTGCGGCTCACGTATCATAAAGAACAGAGGACGCAACCAAATGGAACGAATGTCTATCCCCGGCCATATTCTTCCTCATGCATTACTTCTTTTTTGATCCATCGATACGAGCAAGGGTATGCATTCTTCCAACATCACGGGCTGGTAAGATCTTTTTGCAATGTAAAGTCATTTAAAGTGGCGCCCTGGTGCAATAGGCACAGTGATGAATGGTTTAGTAAGCCTTCGCAATGCAATCAGCTGAGCGCGGGCGTTGACCAGCCCGGCGGTCATAGGGTACTTATTATAAATTTTAATATT